CTTCCTTCGAGGAGAAGCAGTTCAGACCAGTCTGCATCCGTCTTGTTCCTGACCATGCTGCCATGCTTCCACAGCTGCAGCAAACCCTTTGCTTCCACTTCACTGCAGTGCTTTTTAAAGCTGACTTCGGTCTTCCTTTGTGGAGGTTTTCCCTCAAAGAGAGTTTATTTCTGTTCCCATGAATGTGAATTCATGAAGTTCGCCTTTGACTGTTCTCTCCTTCTACTTCACACTGTTTAAGGCCAAAGATAAGATGCACCATGTTTCAGAAGATCTGTTGTGCTAAGTCTGGAGAATTTCTGAAGTCTTTTACTATGTGTTTGGTGTCCGTTCCTTGCTCAGGGGGATGGGTTTATGTATGTAGTCCTCAGTCTGACTCCTGCAACTTAGTGGCAGGCATACCTCAACTCCTGAAATTCCCAGATACATCTCAAGATGCAGTTATCCCTTAAGGATTATCTTACTTGTTACATGGATGACTGCTTTTTGGAGAAACAGTAGCAACAGGAGGTTTGTCAGGTTCACCAGATTCAATTTCAAGACCAGTTTAAAGACACGAGATAATGCCAGCGAGCAATAGCAAAGAATAACACGGAACTCACGATTGTAAAATTTTAAGGTGCAAAAGAAGAAAATCAAACATCATTCTAGAAGTGCCCCCATCAAGATCAGCAAGTCAAAGGAAGGAGGAGGGCTGCCTGGTCAGTCTTTCACAGTCTTTCATAGCAGGATCAAGAGTGTTGGTTTGGAGGAAGGGACGCGAGACTCTGCTCCTTCCTTCCTTTCTTTCTTCTGTTCAAACAGCAGCTCCTTGAGACCCCCAGACTTCCCTTTTCCACAGTGAAATCCCTCCCCCTCTCCTTTTTCCTTTTGTTTCTGTTTTCAATCTGCTTTATAGAGACTTATGCTGCGAGCTGGTACTGTGGCTGCAATCCTGTGGTGCTGGCACATTCCTTCCCCTTTAAATGACTCTGGGGCTGGTCACAACCTTTTATCCATCCACCCCTCAGCCTGGTGGGGAAGGAGCTCAGATTTTGGATGTCTGCTTGCAGGATGCGTACCTGCCCTCAGCTGTTGACACCCCTGCACATTGGACTCGAGAGCTGCAAAAAGGAATTACCGCCCTGAACAAGGATGCAGAGGGGAGTCCATGACTCCCCTACAATCTCCATTATATAGTCTAGTGCTAAAGAAAAATGTTTTATAATTCAATCCAAGGTCCTTAAGTAAACAACTACATCAGTTGACAAAGATTCAAGCTTCTGTTTTAGTTCCGCCTTCCCAGAAGTAAGATCCGTTCCTTTACAGCTGTTGCCGATGCTTCCTTTTCACCAATATGTTGGACAGAAAGATTTTTCCAAAAGTAATCCCCAGATAGATTACTCTGACTGTAAAGAAAAGGGAGTCTCTTCTGCTTGTCTCTTCATTGGTATTTTTTCCTTCTTTCACCATATCCCTAAATAAAATGTCAACATCCAAAATGAAGTATTTGTTACCTGGTAATCTTTTCTGGGGAAGCTTCACAGTCTGTTTCTTTGCCTCCAGTTATGGCACAACTGTATAATAAGATCTCACATCAAAGGGCCACAGTAAGGCCAAGGCAAGCTGTAACGTGTGTATAACCGCAGCAAAGTGAAAAGGTCTTTGCTGATTTCCTTCTGGGAACTGGTAGAAATAGGACACGCAGTTTGGACATCTCTTTGTGAATCTATGTCTCCTGTGGGAGTTGTTCTCGCCACGTACCTAAACCAGTGCTAACCCCATACAAAAACCAGTCACCCCTTTCTACCATGATGAGTGCAGAATTGCTTTCTTGGTCACAGAGAGAAATGAATTCTCTACAGATATCTGTAGCACAGGCATGTACCTAATTACTGCAGTTAGATCAGTTATAGTGCCTTTTTTACCAAGTAGCTAGTACTTCCTTACTCTTTTCCATATTGTGTTTAACTCAGAAGTACAAAGGGACAACCCCAACATTTACTTGTCCAAGTTGAAAACAGCTTTATAGAGACCCATTAAATGCATTGGACCTCAATTAGCCCTACAATAGCAATAGTCTGTCACAAACATCCTCTAAAAAGCCCAGTAATGTAGCTACGTTGACTAAGCTTTGCAATAAGAATTACCAGTCTTCTTTTGAAGAACCTACGTTTTTCAACAGTGAGCATTCAGGGAGGTGGTGGTCGTTGTGCATGTCAACTGTGAACAATTAGTTGCTTCAGTCTTTCTGTTAATATCAATTGCAGGCTTGCTTACATGTAGCAGGATTCGTGGGGTGAGGGATGAGTAGGTGTGGCTCACCGGCATGAGTCACCCACAGCTGGACCATCCCCACAGTAGCAGCTGGCTGAGACTACTTTTGTTCTCTGAGCCCTTGTCTATGGTGCCTTCAGGGAATCCATCCTGCAGGGATTCTTCTGGGCTATGTGCTTCTCACATGGCTCCCTGAACAGCTCCTGTCTGCTGTCTTGATCACAATTCTGTATACGCGGTGCTCTGTTCAACCTTTCAATGGTGCTTTTATAAGATGCTGAATAAAGGGTTTCAGTGCGCTTTCTGAAAGCTGGCGTGTAAAGCCGTGACACAGAGCGCCCTCTCCAGCACTGACTGCTTCCCAGAACTTAGCGTTAACTGTGGTACTCTGACTACAAAAGGCTGACAGTGCTGTCCAGTCTCTTGTTCATCCCACACACCTCCACAATGGAGTCGTCATGTGTAACAAGCCTAGGCTGGGCCACGGGTGCTTAAAAGCAGCCAGGCAGGCTTGAAAGCAAAGAAACATGACTCTCATCTGTGCAGTGTGGGATTGGAAACATCACAGAGCCCAGCTCAAGGACTTTTGTCTGTCTCCTATTGTGCATATGCATTTGTTTGCAATATGATGATAAGAAATCTGTTTCTGCAACAAACATTTTGATTTGGGCCCCACTCCAATGAGGGACTTTTGCTGTTAGGCAAATTACCAGTTATTTCAGACGAGCGTTCATTATTTAGGTTGGAACATGCCTGAATAAGGCTGTT